CCCTTGACTAAATGCCAAGTTTCAATCAATGCTGCTAAATGCTAATATAAAAACCCTTAAGTGTCATGTGTATGACTGACAGACAATAAAAAGGTTAGGACATTTATTAACACAAGCAGTGCTGCAGCATGTATAGTTTGTTTGTTTGGTTTGTTTAATGCCGTTCTCAGCAATATTCCAGCTATGTGACGGCAGTCTGTATATAGTCGTGTCTGGGCCAGACAATCCAGTGATTGATATCACGAGCATCGATCCACGCAATTGGGATCGATAACATGTATTAACCAAGTCAATGAGCCTGACCACCCGATCCTGTTAGTCGCCTCTTACGACAAGTATAGTCACCTTTTACGTGAAGCATGGGTTGCTGAAGACTTATTCTACTCCGGATCTTCATGGGCCACAGCATGTATAGAGAAAATTCAGAGTAGACTTCAAGTGAAGGGATCAAGTACATTCTCCTGTCATAAGTCAGGGTTTTAGAGATAGTTTAGCTCTGGGCTCTTGAAAAACAGCTCTGACGTGCTGAAATACTTTGTAATAAACTAGCTGTTAATCTTGTCAAAACATTTGTCAATTGACAAGTTTGTGTGGATATCTCAAAAGATTTTCCTTAAAAGAAACCACAGAAATATTTCTTTGACTTAAACGTCAAATAATTTGTCCGGTCTCTGAAACTTGTTACGAGTCACTGACAATGGAATGTTTTTAGTCTCTGTGATTACATCAGATATAGTAAGGACTGAGTTACCTCCCCTGCACCACAGTAGTGACTATGTTGCGGTGCATGAGTGTAGTCGGGGGCGTGATCAACCATTGCAAGATAACATTTCTCAACCCAGTTTCACTTATTGATTTAACCTACTAGGTCAGACGTGCTATTTGTCCATCTGTATACAGTTACACACATACATCTACCACACTCACACACATACATCTACCACACTCACACACATACATCTGGCTCACTCACACACATACATCTACCACACTCACACACATACATCTACCACACTCACACATATACATCTACCACTCACACACATACATCTACCACACTCACACACATACATCTGGCCCACTCACACACATACATCTACCACACTCATACACATACATCTACCACACTCACACACATACATCTGGCTCACTCACATACATCTGGCTCACTCACACACATACATCTGGCTCGCTCACATACATCTGGCTCGCTCACACACATACATCTACCACACTCACACACATACATCTACCACACTCACACACATACATCTGGCTCACTCACACACATCTACCACACTCACACACATACATCTGCCACACTCACACACATACATCTGCCACACTCACACACATACATCTGGCTCACTCACATACATCTGGCTCGCTCACACACATACATCTACCACACTCACACACATACATCTGCCACACTCACACACATACATCTGGCTCACTCACATACATCTGGCTCGCTCACACACATACATCTGCCACACTCACACACATACATCTGGCTCACTCACATACATCTGGCTCGCTCACACACATACATCTACCACACTCACACACATACATCTACCACACTCACACACATACATCTGGCTCACTCACATACATCTACCACACTCACACACATACATCTGCCACACTCACACAGATACATCTGGCTCACTCACATACATCTGGCTCGCTCACACACATACATCTACCACACTCACACACATACATCTACCACACTCACACACATACATCTACCACACTCACACACATACATCTGGCTCACTCACATACATCTGGCTCACTCACACACATACATCTGGCTCGCTCACTCACATACATCTACCACACTCACACACATACATCTACCACACTCACACACATACATCTGGCTCACTCACATACATCTACCACACTCACACACATACATCTGCCACACTCACACACATACATCTGGCTCACTCACATACATCTGGCTCGCTCACACACATACATCTACCACACTCACACACATACATCTACCATACTCACACACATACATCTACCACACTCACACACATACATCTGCCACACTGATACATATACATCTACCACACTCACACATATACATCTACCACACTCACACACATCTGGCTCATTCACACACATACATCTATCAAACTCACACACATACATCTACCACACTCACACACATACATCTACCACACTCACACACATACATCTACCACACTCACACACATACATCTACCATACTCACACACATACATCTACCACACTCAAACACATACATCTACCACACTCACACACATACATCTGGCTCACTCACACACATACATCTACCATACTCACACACATACATCTACCACACTCACACACATACATCTACCACACTCACACACATACATCTGGCTCACTCACACACATACATCTACCATACTCACACACATACATCTACCACACTCACACACATACATCTACCACACTCACACACATACATCTACCATACTCACACACATACATCTACCACACTTAAACACATACATCTACCACACTCACACACATACATCTACCACACTCACACACATACATCTACCATACTCACACACAAACATCTACCACACTCAAACACATACATCTACCACACTCACACACATACATCTGCCACACTGATACATATACATCTACCACACTCACACATATACATCTGCCACACTCATACACATACATCTACCACACTCACACACATACATCTACCACACTCACACACATACATCTACCATACTCACACACATACATCTACCACACTCAAACACATACATCTACCACACTCACACACATACATCTGCCACACTGATACATATACATCTACCACACTCACACATATACATCTACCACACTCACACGTACATCTACTACACTCACACACATACATCTATAACACTCATACACATACATCTACTACACTCACACACATACATCTACCACACTCACACACATACATCTACCACACTCACACACATACATCTACTACACTCACACACATACATCTACCACACTCACACACATACATCTGCCACACTCACACATATACATCTGCCACACTCACACATATACATCTACCACTCACACACATACATCTACCACTCACACACATACATCTACCACACTCACACACATACATCTACCACACTCACACACATACATCTACTACACTCACACACATACATCTACCACACTCACACACATACATCTGCCACACTCAAACATATACATCTACCACACTCACACACATACATCTACCACATTCACACACATACATCTACCACACTCACACACATACATCTGCGACACTCCCACACATACATCTACCACACTCACACTCACACATCTACCACACTCACACACATACATCTACCACACTCACACAAATACATCTACCACACTCACACACATACATCTGCCACACTCACACACATACATCTGCCACACTCACACACATACATCTACCACACACACACACATACATCTACCACACTCACACACATACATCTACCACACTCACACACACACATCTACCACACTCACACATATACATCTGCCACACTCACACACACACACATCTATCACAATGAGCTTGTGGTTTGCAGGGTGGGACAAGTTGTGTTTATAGTAGAAGATAAAATCTACCACACTGAGGTTACCGTTCACAATGTGGGCCAAGTATTATTATGGTAGAAGATAGGTTTACTGGCCTGCTGGGTATTGTTTCAGATTTGATCTGATGAAGAAAATACAGGACATGAATTGGAGTAAAAAGGAATTGAAGCTGAGTGATAGATCGCAGGTTTAGAAATTCAGGTTTAGTATTGAGAACATAGTTAAAATCATACTGACACTGAAGTGCGCGCTTAGAAAGCGTGTTTTTTAACAGTACTTTGTGACCGTGTTTTTGACACAAAAGGCTGTGTATATGTCACTGGCTTGGACATAAGAAATGTAATAAGTCAGTGGCAAAAGTGAGTAAGTCAATATTGTTGGGCATGTAAGAAATGTGATGCCTTTAGAAATAAAAATACAAAAATGCTGCAAAATGTATTTGTTCAAACAGCATGTTTAAAAATTAAGGCAACTTCTGTGCATCTGTCAGCATGGGTTAACGAGTAAAACCGATTTAAAAAAATCGGAAATAGCTTCCGTGCATCTGGCTACCTGCTGGGGCTAGGGGCAATACTGCCTTAAACTTGACCCTGAGGCCAAGTATAACCCTCATTCCACGAGTCCTCAGAGTTTGTAGCTCAGACCTGCTTTAACAAGACTGAAATATTTGCTATGTTTATTTCTGTCAGTTTGATTCAGTGTCAGTTTGTAGAAAAATTGAAGAAACATGCCGATGAAAAATGGTTCAGAATGATAGTACTCAATAAGTTACAGAGATCCGTCATTGGGTTTCTACTCGTCCTCAGCACAGTTTTGTATTCCCAGACTACTGGGCCAGTGTGAGTTTCAAAGGCTGTTGCATTCCAAATGGCACACCTAAACATCTTTATCAGTGCCCTGTGGCACACTTGAATACTATTTGTCCCTGGATCATCAAGACAGGTACACATATGAAATATTTTATTGATTCTCTGATGGTGACAAGTCTATTACCATGGTGCTAGATATCGATAGGTAGTCCTGGGTACTTGAGTTTTGCTTCTATTTGAATCGGAGGACCCCCAAAGAGTTTATTTTTTAACGTAAGTTTTATGACCGAGACCCCTTGACCTTCCAACTTAATTTCAACACTGGTGCTGTTTCATTTTAGGTTTTGTCCCTGATTATTATACTTGGTAAGCGAGCACCATACCTGTGCTCATCAGCTTGCATTCCACCTTCAGCTGTGGGCACGTGACTAGTATACTGTTCATGTTGGTGTCAGACCCAACTCTCTTGCTCGTGAAACTTGCCTGAGGAGACACAAGTGCCTTTTTGTGATGATGATGATGTCTCTGTTGCAGGCTTTCATGAGTGATGACCCGCCTCCGAAGCCTCGGAACACCTGGATGAATGACAACGAAGTTGGTCAAGATCCTCGCAGAGTGCCAAAGAGAAGGTCCACCGTCATGGGAATCAATGCTGGAGAAGAAGCACCAGAACATGGTAGGACTTTTGTTTCACAAGATTGTTGTCAATGAGGCGTGATGTGCTGTAGGTTTTCAGGATTGCACAGAATGGCTTGCCTTAAAGGTAGCACAGATATTTGTAAATCTGTGTTTTGGCTAGCAGTATCATTCGCTTCATCTTGAGTTTCACTGTTAGTCTTACAGGAAGTGTACGTCCTGTATACAGCAGGGATGGAAACATCCTCACTGGGGTCATCACCAGTAGTTGATTTGGACCAATTGATCTGAATATCTTATAGCTAAAATGGATAGAATTATCATTAAACCGCCCACATGTTAACAGAAATGATTGTGTGTTGGTTGGTTTGTTGTTTAACGCCACACTCAGCAATATTCCAGCTATATGACTGCGATCTGTAAATAATCGAATCTGGACCAGACAATCCAGTGATTAATATCATGAGCATCGATCCACGCAATTGGGATCGATGACATGCATTAACCAAGTCAGCGAGCCTGACCACCCGATCCTGTTGGGTCGCCTCCTACAACAAGCATAGTCACCTTTTAGCATGGGTTGCTAAAGACGTATTCTACCCCGGATCTTCACGGGTCTATCAGAAATGAGCGGGCCACTGTAACTTCATAATGCCCTCATAGAGATGGGGAAAGGTGAAGTCACATTCAATAGTGACGTCATCTGGTTTGTTCTATGACGTTTCCATATTTGTAAAAGTGGGTCAGTGAAATTTGTGTTGAATGCAAAACAGATGTTTATTTTTATTTGATAACAAAGTCTATCCATTTTAGCTATAATAACGGTAACACTATTTTCCAGGGTGTTATCATTTGCAGAAGCCCTTGGTCTTTTCAACTGCCCTTCTTAGTCGGGCAGTTAATGGAAGACCTCAGGCTTCTGCAAATGATAATGCCCTGAAAAATAGCGTTACCCTTATAATGGTACACTCCTGCACAACAAAGTCTTTCAGAAAGTTAAGACAAAATTATATTCTAATGAACCTGATGTGTTCATGAAAATGATATGAAGTCAACAAGGTGGCCTCTGTTGTCAACAATAGAATGTTTTCAATAGAATATATCATACATTTGTGGAATTCAAAATATAAGCTAGCCTGCTACAGTCAGACACGTAAGGACTTGTCATGTGATTGATCTGTAAGTAAGAGTGTAACAATCCAGTGTAGTATTGATGACTAGCTTGAATCACATTATGTATCGCAGTACTATTGGACAAGCTTTGATAAATTGGCAATACTTACCTAGAACTTGTATTTCACATGCTTTTATTTAGTTCCATTTTGTTTTTTAATGACTGATGACTGTACAGTACACAGGTCATTAGGTATAAGACATTATGAAAAAAAAAGAATAAAAACTCATTGACTACTTGTACAAAGTCTTCCCGCCCCCCTCAACCCTCTACCCACAATTGTTGAGAAATAAATGTGCTTTTTGCACAACGAAACACGCTCTTTTTATTTGGATATTGGCTTAAAAAGACCTCTAAGTTAGTCATTGCTATTTGAATTTATTTGTCAACTTGTCCGGTCAGGTAGCCTTGTGGTTAAAAGCATTCGCTCGTCACACCGAAGACCCGGGTTTGATTCCCAACATGGGTACAATGTGTGAAGCCCATTTCTGGTGTCCTCCGCCGTGATATTGCTTGAATATTGCTAAAAGCGGCGTAAAACCATACTCACTCACTCACTCACTCACACTCACTCACTCACTCACTCACTCACTCACTCACTCACTCACTCACTCACTCACTCACTCACTCACTCAACTCACTTGTTTACCTGTTTACCTACATATAAGTGAAGTGGCTGTGCCTGGACATGCTGTGCTGGGTAGAACTAAAACAATGGTGGTACAATAAAAAAAATGAAAGTTTTGATTTTCAATTTTTACTTATTTGCTGATGAAGTTTATGACTATGACCTAACAAGTCACAGAAATGACCAAGACGCTCATTTGCTAACATTCCTCAAAATCACTGGATTCTTTATTTCAATTAACACATTAAAACTGATAAAGTGTGGGAGTTTCAATACACATCCTCATATATAAATATCAATCACTGGCAATTACAGTATGTCAATAAATAAATAAAATTGTAACGTTCCAAATTACAGTATGTGAGTTTCTGACACAGTTGATATGAAGTTACTGTTAACCCAAGACTGATTTCTTCCTCAGGTTCGTACATGCAGATCTACAAACGAAAACAGCAAGCTAACGTCACCAGAATAAACAACTACGCTCTCTCAGATCAAGGGGAGACGACAATTAAAGGTAAGTTTGTTTCACATTAGTAACTAACTGTATAATGTTTCCTGTACACCTGCGTGACCATCAGTCAGCATTCATCTCTGTCCTTCGTGAGTGAGCACCAAGTCATTTCATTGTGTGTCATTAGCTTGATATTCTAGAAGACAGTGCACTGTGGAATAACGGTTCAATTGAGGAGCCTTTTGTGTCAGGGATTGTAATATTCTCTGCCAGGTTTGACGCTCGTGAACTGAAATGTCATCCTTTGATTTGAGGGATCTGGTGGAAAATTTGATACCTGTTGTGTTTAATTGGGAGCACAGAAGTTTGTATGGGGTCACCTGTCATTGTTGGAGTGGGATTGATTTGTCCTGAATGGACTCACTAGGATAGTTAGTGTACTTGATGTTGTGAGGTCGGGTGTGATGGTAGACGTTTTGTGTGTTTGTTGGTGTGTAAATTGTATACTGGGGTGTTGTCAGGTGAATAGAACAAAGGCAGATGTTGTTAATTTGCATGAGATGATTATACAGTACACCTGTCCCAGAAACACTTAATGTTGCACTTCATGACTGTTGTATTGAGAACTTAAAAAACAAAGTGTTCGTTGCAGGTGGTTTGCTTTTTCGGGGAATAGTTTTGTCAGAATTTAAACTTGACAATGTAACCATGATGGACTTATATATATATATATATATGATATAATTTTTAAGAGTAAATTTCAGCATTTTCCAAACAGGATATATTATGTCAATTTCCATGATTTTATTTTAATACCAAGTACACTGTGTAGTTAATTACACATATTTGAAAAAGACAGGCATTATATACTATCATTGAAGTATTTTCCTGACAATTTCATATCCAGTGGTAAACTGGAATCAGTGATCTTGCTGTGTCCAGGGAGATAACTCTTCCATGCTTTGTCACGGATGCTCAGGAGAACTCTCCTCATCAAGGCTGTGTGTGTTTGAGTTTCAGTTTTGACAGATAAAATATTCAATATTGTTTCGTCACAGATGTTTCAGTACAGAAATTCATAAATGATATCAAATATGTCAAGACGTCTTTAAATATTTCCGAGTGATTATCTTACAGTTTGTTTGTTTGTTGTTTAACGCCGCACTCAGCAATATTCTAGCTATATGACAGCGGTCTGTAAATAATCAAGTCTGGACCAGACAATCCAGTGATTGACAACATGAGCATCGATCCACGCAATTGGGATCAATGACATGCATCAACCAAGTCAGCAAGCGCTGACCACCCGATCCCGTTAGTCACCTCTTACAACAAGCATAGTCGCCTTTTACGGCAAGCATGGGTTGCTGAAGACCTATTTTACCCCGGAACTTCACGGGCTACATGTTAGTAGAGCAGCTGCAGATTATCTTACAAATCTGTGTAGTCTATTATACAGATCCAGATACCAACATATCCAATGCAGCCCATGCAAGTCTGTAATAGTTAGCAAGTCTATAGCAAGTCTATATTACTGCAGTTTCAGAAAATGAGGAGAGTTTCTGGGCTCCATGTCATTAAGGTAAACAGGGGCATGGGTGGCCCATTTGTTTAAGGTGCCTCAATTCGCTGTGCAGAGTTGAGTCCCTTGGGCACGCCAGAAACCTGTGATTGAGGGTTCAATCCAGGTTCGCCTAGATTATGTTTCTAGGTTTGTCAGCACCATGCCTGTGCTCATGGGTTTCACCAAAGTGATAAACGTCCGCGACCTGCATCACTTCAGGCTTTCCACCCACATTAAGCTGACACGCCGCGATATAACTGGAATACTGTTAAAAGCAGCGTTAAACCCAACTCACTCACTCACTTATTAAGGTAATTTAGGGAACTGTTTTTCATTGTAAGATAATTTCTTGACATAATCATTCATACAAACCCCCAAACCCAGTACACCACTAGTTAAACCACTAGACATTATCATACATACAAACTCCCAAACCCAGTACACCACTAGTTAAACCACTAGACATTATCATACATACAAACCCCCAAACCCAGTACACCACTAGTTAAACCACTAGACATTATCATACATACAAACCCCAAAACCCAGCACACCTCTAGTTAAACCACTAGACATTATCATACATACAAACCCCCAAACCCAGCACTCCTCTAGTTAAACCACTAGACATTATCATACATACAAACTCCCAAACCCAGTACACCACTAGTTAAACCACTAGACATTATCATACATACAAACTCCCCAAACCAGTACACCACTAGTTAAACCACTTAACCTTATACATAAAAACTCCCAAAACCCAGTACACTGCTCATAAAACCACTTGACATTAATGATTAACATACATACAAACTCCCCAAACCCAGAATATAACCAGACTGTCTCTGTGGTCTATAGTGAAAGCATCTGCCAAGAAAGCGGACGCTCCGGGGTTCGACCCCCATCCGCGTCATACCAAAAGTTAAACGCAACGTTAGACCCCTTTTCACCTCACCTCTTATAAAACCATTTGACATTATCGTACGTTGGATCTTGGATCAGTTACCATATTTGTTTCAATGTTTCTGGTTGAGATCAATGAATCAATGTTCCATGTAAGAGTGATGGCTGCTGTTTATGGCCGCCTGTCAGTTATGGCGGTGCTTGCCATGCGTCACCGATGTATTAGTGGGATGCCCACATAAACTGGAACTCATTGCTCTGCATGCATAAATAATTTCTACCACGTTGTTAGGATGCTTGGTCCGGAGGGTGTCTTTGTGAGTGCTTAATGGCAACATTTGTCTCCAGATACTGTGTGTTGCTAATAACAGCATTGATTCCGTAATGTCGTATTGTAATAACAACTTGTTAGTGGCACGTGTAGTTGGTCAGATAATCTTCATGTTATTCTGATTGGTAATTTATAGCTGGAATATTGCTTAGCGTGGAGGCGTTAAACAACAAACTATCCAAATGGTCATTTGGTACGTGTGCAAATCTTTATAGTTGGGTAGCTGGAGTATTGCTGAATGCTGCATTAAACAACAAGCAAGCAATTATAGTTGGGTATTTATGCATGTCTGTAGCTTTAGAAACTAACAGTTTTCGGCCACTAGACCTTATAATGATAACATATAGCAAAACCCTTAAAAAGGGCAAATTTCTACTGGGCCTTATGATACCTTAACTATTGGGCAGTTTGGCAAGGGCTATAGGACTAGTGCCAATTTCTACCTCTGGTCTGTACCAAATATCCCCGTCCCAATCGGGTGCTGTGACAATTGTGATGTTTGTGGTACTGTGACTACAGCTGCTGGAGAGGCATGTGCCATCTGTTTGCCATGGCTGCTGTATGATACTAGCAGTACAAGCCTGTCAAGATTAACAACAGCAGGAGTGGTCGGGACATTTAAGTGATCGGGACAGTCCACAAAATAATTTTGTTCCCATATGAAATTAAATAGCATTGCTGATGAAAAGTCTGAAAAGTTCAGAGCATGAAGTGGAGGAGTAACGATGTGGTGTGGTGTGATATGATACGCAGCCTGATACTATGGGTGCAATCCCGATACCATGGATACTGTAGTTTTATTTAATAAGTTTTGATGTTCTTCTGGCAGTGAATCACAACCCTGAATCAGTTGTTTTTATATCAGAAAACGAAGATGGGATGTTGTAGGGCAGAAACATATTGGCTGGCGGGCACTGTGAATGTTATGTTATTTATATTTTATAAAATATATCATACAGCTAATACTAGAGAATCTGTGTAGGGTGGTTGTTGAACGGTTTTGTTTAGTTTTTTTAATCTATTATGATGCATGTTTTTTACACCAATATAACTTGTAATTTAATGTATTTTATGTATCACGATACAAGGGTTGTAAATTGATGTATTGTGGGCTTTGTATCATGATACAATACTGTATCGCTGTATCGTTACACCACTAGTGTCAAGAATAGGGGTTAAATGACACAGCAAGATCACGATACAATACGTTTCATGGAAATTTCTTGACAATGAATATTTCAGAGCAGGTTGAAAAAGAAAGCTTGCTGTAGATACATGTTTGTAGCAAACTTGAAACGCAAATTACAACACATTTTGGTACATCTGACTGACAAAAGCGCCAGGGGTAATTAAACATGACTAAGTAATTTATTTTAGCAAATGTATCTTCTTGTATTGATACAGATAAAAACATATCATGTGTGGTATCGTCACATGAAAACTCATGATGCAACGGTGCACTGATGTATCATTTCATCCCTAATCAAGAAGTGATATCCCCAACATGAAATATCTTATCTAAATATCTTTAGTGGTCCCCATTACTGTATCGAAACACCTGATGCTCCAGTGCAACATCTATCCTCCTCCTTCTTATCACTGATACTGAATGTTCTGTCATGAGTGTTTTTTGTTTTTGTTTGTTTTTTGTTTAATTTAACTCTGCACTTACCAATATTCCAGCTATATGACGGCGGTCTGTAAATAATCGAGTCTGTACCAGACAATCCAGTAATTGACATCGATACATACAATTGAGATTGATTACATGCATCAACCAAGTCAGCAAGCCTGACCACCCGATCCCATTAGTCGCCTCTTACAACAAGCATAGTCGCCTTTTACGGCAAGCATGGGTTGCTGAAGACCTACACTACTGCCTAAAAGTTCATTCCCCTAACACGCGTTGAGAACGCGTGTAACACGCATGTGACACGGGTGCTCAACGGGTTGCACACGCGATTCACACCCGTTGCACACCCGTGTCCAACGGGTGTGAATCGCGTGTGCAACCCGTTACACACGCGTGTGCCACGCGTGTAACACGGGCCCGGGTTCCAGTTGAAGTTGACAAATTTATCAAATGAATAGTGAAATAAAACAAAACAGTGAGATGTGAAATTTGAGTTAATGAGCGGCCATTGAGCTGTGTTCACCAGACCGTAAATACAAGGTCGGCCCATCTTAATTAGTGTTCGGTTGCTAGACTTTTATGGCATGAACCATTCCACTAGGGTCCAGTCTAGCCGTTGTGGCTAGCCG